TCTGTTCTAGTTCTGTTCTAGTTCTGTTCTGTGCTGTTCGAGTGCTGTTCTAGTTCTGTTCTAGTTCTGTTCTAGTTCTGTTCTAGTTCTGTTCTAGTTCTGTTTTCGAGTTCTGTTCTAGTTCTGTTCTAGTTCTGTTCTAGTTCTGTTCTAGTTCTGTTCTAGTTTCTGTTCTAGTTCTGTTCTAGTTCTGTTCTAGTTCTGTTCTAGTTCTGTTCTAGTTCTGTTCAGTTCTGTTCTAGTTCTGTTCTAGTTCTGTTCTAGTTCTGTTCTAGTTCTGTTCTAGTTCTGTTCTAGTTCTGTTCTAGTTCTGTTCTAGTTCTGTTCTAGTTATGTTCTAGTTCTGTTCGATTTCTGTTCTAGTTCTGTTCTAGTTCTGTTCTAGTTCTGTTCTAGTTCTGTTCTAGTTCTGTTCTAGTTCTGTTCTAGTTCTAAAGTATCTGTAATGTACGCCCTAAGGCGTTTGTATCCGAGTGTTTTAAATACTAAACTTAAAGTTGTGCACTCTATGGTCTTTGTGGTCATGGAAAGAGTTTCATCATATATTTAAACACAAACACATGTACTTCAGAAGTAAATACGTACTTTCAGGCGTATATGGCTGCTATTGTTTTTTACTTCCACCATTATTACTTTTATAATAGTGCTATTTTTTGTTTGCATTTTCTTGTTTTTCACAACTTTTGCCATGGCTGTTGTTTATATTTCATTTAATTTAAAAAAAAAAAAAAAAAAAAATGGCAAAAACAGGAAAAAAGGAAAAATATATTGTTTTTATTTTTCCGTATTTATGCGGGTGATGTTTTTTTCAACTAAAGCCAATACTAGTCTGAAAGAGTATATGTATGAGGAGTAAGTGTGTTTATGACTGGTCTCTTGAACAATGGACCAGGCCATAAATATGTATGTATGTATGTGTGGAGCTTGAGGGAGAAAGGATTAAATCCAACACACACGCAAAAAAAAACTATACAAACTCCAGTTTAATATATGTATGTATGTATGTGTGTTTAAGTGTAAACTCTTACGTACAAATTGTCTAGACACTGTCAACATTGTTGCCGCTTTAAAACAAAAACTTTGTTTGTTTGCTGGCTTGCTGTTTTTTTTTTACATTTAAAACTGTGGAATTTTCAACGGTTTTTACATATATTCCCCATTTTTACAAAAATCTTTTATTATATTTCTGTGATGACTGTATAGTGTTTCTTTTCATTTAAGCCATTTGCCCAAAAGCAGTTGAATGTGGCTGGGAGTGAGTGACTGAATGCTGCGATGTTGTATATTTTATTGTTACAAGTGATTTTTAATTTCTGACAAATACAATTGTTAACAATTATTTCAGGTATTAATTGAATTGTAGCTGAAATGAAAAAGTTTAAAAGGTGCCGGGGGGTGGTGGAGATATCAGCAATTTTTCACCATGATTTTTCATTGACATTTACGAAATATTTCAATTAATGGCACGTATTTAAGAGGAGAAATTGAAAACATAAATGTTGTCTTTAAAATACAAGGCAGCGTATATGAGTCATATTTAATTTATTAAGCTGGCATTTGTATGCATGACGTATGAGTGATATTTAATTTAATGAAAAATTTAATATATTGTATACGCCAGTGGGGATGGGAAATATTGATTTAATTTGGTGGAATATTAAGGAATTTTGTATATGGTTATCCATCTTTTATGAAGTTTGCTGTATTTCAAGGAACCTCTGTAGAGTTCAATTTCAATTCACAAGTATGACAACACAATTTTCAGACATCCTAAAGAAACTTTTAGCTTTTCAAACAGCTAATGCTTTCCTTTTAATAACATTTAGTTTCCCATAAAACTCGAGGTTTCTCACGAAGTTCTAGTTCCGTTCAAATACAGTTCTAGTTTATGTTTAAGTTCAGTTCTAGTTCAATTCTAGTACAGTTCAGTTCTAGTTTAGTTTAGTTCAGTTCTAGTTCAGTTCTAGTTCAGTTCTAGTTCAGTTCTAGTTCAGTTCTAGTTCAGTTCTAGTTCAGTTCTAGTTCAGTTCTAGTTCAGTTCTAGTTCAGTTCTAGTTCAGTTCTAGTTCAGTTTAGTTCAGTTCTAGTTCAGTTCTAGTTCTAGTTCTAGTTCAGTTCTAGTTCAGTTCTAGTTCAGTTCTAGTTCAGTTCTAGTTCAGTTCTAGTTCAGTTCTAGTTCAGTTCTAGTTCAGTTCTAGTTCAGTTCTAGTTCAGTTCTAGTTCAGTTCTAGTTCAGTTCTAGTTCAGTTCTAGTTCAGTTCTAGTTCAGTTCTAGTTTCAGTTCTAGTTCAGTTCTAGTTCAGTTTTAGTTCAGTTCTAGTTCAGTTCCGTTCAAGTTACAGTTCTAGTTTATGTTAAGTTCAGTTCTAGTTCAATTCTAGTACAGTTCAGTTCTAGTTTAGTTTTAGTTCAGTTCTAGTTCAGTTCTAGTTCAGTCTAGTTTAGTTTAGTTCAGTTCTAGTTCAGTTCTAGTTCAGTTCTAGTTCAGTTCTAGTTCAGTTCTAGTTCAGTTCTAGTTCAGTTCTAGTTCAGTTCTAGTTCAGTTCTAGTTCAGTTCTAGTTCAGTTCCAGTTCAGTTCTAGTTCGTGTTCTAGTTCTGTTCTAGTTCTGTTCTAGTTCTGTTCTAGTTCTGTTCTAGTTCTGTTTTGTTCTGTTATTGTTCTGTTCCAGTTCTGTTCTAGTTCTGTTCTAGTTCTGTTCTAGTTCTGTTCTAGTTCTGTTCTAGTTCTGTTCTAGTTCTGTTCTAGTTCTGTTCTAGTTCTGTTCTAGTTCTGTTCTAGTTCTGTTCTAGTTCTGTTCTAGTTCTGTTCTAGTTCTGTTCTAGTTCTGTTCTAGTTCTGCTCTAGTTCTGTTCTAGTTCTGTTCTAGTTCTGTTCTAGTTCTGTTCTAGTTCTGTTCTAGTTCTGTTCTAGTTCTGTTCTAGTTCTGTTCTAGTTCTGTTCTAGTTCTGTTCTAGTTCTGTTCTAGTTCTGTTCTAGTTCTGTTCTAGTTCTGTTCTAGTTCTGTTCTAGTTCTGTTCTAGTTCTGTTCTAGTTCTGTTCTAGTACTGTTCTAGTTCTGTTCTAGTTCTGTTCTAGTTCTGTTTTCTAGTTCTGTTCTAGTTCTGTTCTAGTTCTGTTCTAGTTCTGTTCTAGTTCTGTTCTAGTTCTGTTCTTGTTCTGTTCTAGTTCTGTTCTAGTTCTGTTCTAGTTCTGTTCTAGTTCTGCTCTCTAGTTCTGTTCTAGTTCTGTTCTAGTTCTGTTCTAGTTCTGTTCTAGTTCTGTTCTAGTTCAGTTCTGTTCTAGTTCAGTTCTAGTTCAGTTCTAGTTTAGTTCTAGTTCAGTTCTAGTTCAGTTCTAGTTCTGTACTAGTTCAGTTCTAGTTCAGTTCTAGTGCAGTTCTAGTTCAGTTCTAGTTCAGTTTTAGTTCAGTTCTAGTTCTAGTTCAGTTCTAGTTCAGTTCTAGTTCAGTTCTAGTTCAGTTCTAGTTCAGTTCTAGTTCAGTTCTAGTTCAGTTCTAGTTCAGTTCTAGTTCAGTTCTAGTTCAGTTCTAGTTCAGTTCTAGTTCAGTTCTAGTTCAGTTCTAGTTCAGTTCTAGTTCAGTTCTAGTTCAGTTCTAGTTCAGTTCTAGTTCAGTTCTAGTTCAGTTCTAGTTCAGTTCTAGTTCAGTTCTAGTTCAGTTCTAGTTCAGTTCTAGTTCAGTTCTAGTTCAGTTCTAGTTCAGTTCTAGTTCAGTTCTAGTTCAGTTCTAGTTCAGTTCTAGTTCAGTTCTAGTTCAGTTCTAGTTCAGTTCTAGTTCAGTTCTAGTTCAGTTCTAGTTCAGTTCTAGTTCAGTTCTAGTTCAGTTCTAGTTCAGTTCTAGTTCAGTTCTAGTTCAGTTCTAGTTCAGTTCTAGTTCAGTTCTAGTTCAGTTCTAGTTCAGTTCTAGTTCAGTTCTAGTTCAGTTCTAGTTCAGTTCTAGTTCAGTTCTAGTTCAGTTCTAGTTCAGTTCTAGTTCAGTTCTAGTTCAGTTCTAGTTCTGTTCTAGTTCTGTTCTAGTTCTGTTCTAGTTCTGTTCTAGTTCTGTTCTAGTTCTGTTCTAGTTCTAGTTCTGTTCTAGTTCTGTTCTAGTTCTGTTCTAGTTCTGTTCTAGTTCTGTTCTAGTTCTGTTCTAGTTCTGTTCTAGTTCTGTTCTAGTTCTGTTCTAGTTCTGTTCTAGTTCTATTCTAGTTCTGTTCTAGTTCTGTTCTAGTTCTGTTCTAGTTTTGTTCTAGTTCTATTCTAGTTCTGTTCTAGTTCTGTTCTAGTTCTGTTCTAGTTCTGTTCTAGTTCTGTTCTAGTTCTGTTCTAGTTCTAGTTCTGTTCTAGTTCTGTTCTAGTTCTGTTCTAGTTCTGTTCTAGTTCTGTTCTAGTTCTGTTCTAGTTCTGTTCTAGTTCTGTTCTAGTTCTGTTCTAGTTCTGTTCTAGTTCTGTTCTAGTTCTGTTCTAGTTCTGTTCTGTTCTAGTTCTGTTCTGTTCTAGTTCTGTTCTAGTTCTGTTCTAGTTCTGTTCTAGTTCTGTTCTAGTTCTGTTCTAGTTCTGTTCTAGTTCTGTTCTAGTTCTGTTTCTGTTCTAGTTCTGTTCTAGTTCTGTTCTAGTTCTGTTCTAGTTCTGTTCTAGTTCTGTTCTAGTTCTGTTCTAGTTCTGTTCTAGTTCAGTTCTAGTTAAGTTCTAGTTCATTCTAGTTCAGTTCTAGTTAAGTTCTAGTTCAGTTCTAGTTAAGTTCTAGTTCAGTTCTAGTTCAGTTCTAGTTCGGTCTCAAACTTTGCTAAAGAAACCTTCCCTAAAGAGATGAAGTTTTCTTATGGAACCTTAAATTTTCCAAAGATCTAATGCTTTCTTTTAGAAACTTTTACCTCTCCAATGAGATCTTAAGCTTTGCATAACATTTGAAAAAATCTCCCATGAAAATATGTTTTTCGATAATTACACTGATCATATGAGTATTATTTAATTTTAATTGAATTAAATATTACGTATACGTATTTTTGTCATACAACTTACCTGGGAAAATATAAACGCACTATTTCACCAGTTCTGCCTTTGATATGATAACTGCATGAGGTATTGGGTGGATACCAATGGGCTATACTCAAAAATATACCCTCACTAGCACTGCTGTCCTTAAGTGAATCGGAACTAAGTAACCAATCACAAATGCCATGTTTAATGCCAGCTGTTTCCACATGTCCTGGCCAATTGCCAACATTAAAATGAAAGCCGGTATTTAATAAAGGTCCGGCCGGTGATGTAACAAATTCAACATACATATATTGTGAGGTACCTGCAAAAAAAAACACAAACATACAAATATGGAAATGAGTTTTGTGATATAAATAATGTTGTAAAATATAGAGAATAAAATAAATTTTACATGGCATTACATATACATGGTAATATTGTATTATAAAATTATTTGGTTTGAAAAGTTTGTTTTATATTAGTTTATTGTAATACCAACAGAAGCCTCCTCTTTCTAGTGAACTTTGCCCCTTTTGTAGAGTAAAATGTATTGTTGAACATATAAACATTTAATAAATATTAATTACATTAGCATTCAATATCCTTTATATGACATATTGGGATTTTATAAACTCTAAAATAGGAAGGAGCTTGAGAAATCCCAGCAAACATTTTGAAAACCAAAACTTTAATAGAAAATTTAGACATTTAAATCCTTTACCTAGTTAAGTTTTCCAAAGCCTTTTTGTGTACACTGTTGAAAAAATTTTTTCACTTAAATATGTTTGCTGGTACTTTGTAATTTAATCTACCAGCTGCATTTACACTTACAACTCTCCCACTTATACAACTGCACATATACTTATACATTTACACAAATAAACGTCAACATTGCGTATGTATTTACAAAATTAACATTTTATGTTATTGGGTCCATTTAGGTCATTGTGTAACATTTTATTTCAGAAAGCATATTATTTATTATGCAATTTGTAGGGAAATATTGGAAATAAATGAAAGATAAATAGTTTGCCGAGGAAAAAAACAAGCAACTTAGATCAAATAGAACGTGAAATCGTAGTTCTTAACCGGGCAAGTGTAGCTCCTATTAAAGACCACACAATTTTTCTTAAAGAAACTCAAACCTAGTTTCAATCACTTCACCTAATGTAGTTGATATTTCAGTTTTTTTTTAATATTTCAAAACATATCTCCCAACTTACCTATTATACTAAAGGGAAACTTTCCCAGGCCACAGAATTTACCAATTAGCGGTGAATGTTCATCACGACCATCATAGACGGCCAGCCAATCATAAGGGCAGTGTTCGTTACCCGAACCAATGGGCCGTATAGGGCAGGTCATAACGTTTTCACATCTGAAAAAAAGAGAAAAATTTTCATAAATTAAAATCAAAATATAAGCAACACATACAAAGTAATTAATGCTTTTCAAAGATATTGACTTTTAAGGACAACAACTTTTAGTTTCCGGTTCAAGTTATAACAAAATACTAAATAGAAAAAGACAATCCGCCATGTTTATATTTGGTTCATTACCACACATTGACGGATAGACAAATTTCAGTTATATAATTTAATTCAATTATAAATATTTCTTAAACAAGTAATACATTAGTATTTTTAGTATTCCCAGGAATTCTTAATGTCCTCATTATAAAAATATATTGCCCCCCCCCCCCCCCCCCCTCCACTATATCAAATTTAGAATTAGGACTCATTATTATCCACGAATTATAAAAAAAGCAAAGAAAGAAAGAAAAACACTTGCAAGTGATTAAATTGTAATGTGCTGGCGATTTCGATAATAATTATAGTACTTTAACCTTCAACTACCAAACTGACAGCAGAATTCGTATCATCGTTATCATTATTACAACCAATACGTATACACATTAAAGGGCCAAACCATCACCTTCATCAAGAGAAATTCCATCATTTATAGCATAACCACCACCAGCAGCATCAGTATCGTTGCAATGATTTTCATTTTACATTATTATTATACACTTAGAGAGAAAATGTATGCTATAGACTAGACTATAGACTAGACTATAGACTAGGCTATAGACTAGACTATAGACTAGACTATAGACTAGACTATAGACTAGGCTATAGACTAGACTATAGACTAGACTATAGACTAGACTATAGACTAGACTATAGACTAGACTATAGACTAGACTATAGACTAGACTATAGACTAGACTATAAACTAGACTATAGACTAGACTATAGACTAGACTATAGACTAGACTATAGACTAGACTATAGACTAGACTATAGACTAGACTATAGACTAGACTATAGACTATACTATAGACTAGACTATAGACTAGACTATAGACTAGACTATAGACTAGACTATAGACTAGACTATAGACTAGACTATAGACTAGACTATAGACTAGACTATAGACTAGACTATAGACTAGACTATAGACTAGACTATAGACTAGACTATAGACTAGACTATAGACTATACTATAGACTAGACTATAGACTAGACTATAGACTAGACTATAGACTAGACTATAGACTAGACTACAAACTAGACTATATACTAGACTATATATTATACTATAGACTAGACTATAGACTAGACTATAGATTATACTATAGACTTGACTATAGACTGGACTATAAACTAGACTATAGACTTGACTATAGACTTGACTATAGACTAGACTAAAGACTAGACTATAGACTAGACTAGACTATAGACTAGACTATAGACTAGACTATAGACTAGACTACAGACTAGACTACAGACTAGACCATATACTAGACTATAAACTAGACTATAGACGAAACTGTAGACTAGACTATAGACTAGACTATAAACTAGACTATAGACTAGACTATAGACTAGACTATAGACTAGACTATAGACTAGACTGTAGACTATACTATAGACTAGACTATAGAATAGACTATAGATTAGACTATAGACTAGACTATAGACTAGACTATAGACTGGACTATAGACCAGACTATAGAATAAACTATAGACTATACTATAGACTAGACTATAGACTAGACTATAGAATAGACTATAGACTAGACTATAGAAAAGACTATAGTTTATAGACTGTGGACTAGACTATAGACTAGACTATACTATAGACCAGACTATAGAATAGACTATAGACTATATTATAGACTCGACTATAGACTAGACTATAGACTAGACTATAGAATAGGCTATAGACTAGACTATAGACCAGACTATAGACTAGACTATAGACAGGCTATAGACTACACTATAGACTAGACCATAGAATAGACTATGGACTAGACTATAGACTTGCCCATAGACTAGACTATAGACATGCCCATAGACTAGACTATAGACTAGACTATAGACTAGACTATAGACTAGATTATAGACTAGACTATAGACTAGACTATAGACTAGACTACAGACTAGACTATATACTAGACTATATACTAGACTATAGACTAGACTATAGACTAGACTATAGACTAGACTATAGACTTGACTATAGACTAGACTATAGACTAGGCTATAGACTATACTATAGACTAGACTATAGACTAGACTATAGACTAGACTATAGACTATACTATAGACTAGACTATAGACTAGACCATAGACTAGAATATAGACAAGACTATAGACTAGACTATAGACTAGACTATAGATTAGACTATAGACTAGACTATAGACTAGGCTATATACTAGACTATATACTAGACTATAGGCTAGACTATTGATTCACTTAACCATATCATTTCTCTAAGTGTATCAAAAAGCGAGAATCATCAAAGATGGCAGGCAGCTGTAATGGTGGCATTTTTAACCTTCTGTTACTGACAATGGACAGAAATAAATGAACGATAGATAGAATGAAGGAACGAGCGAATGAACGAATAAATCGAGATGATGAAACAATTTGTATTGTTGTAAATATTGTTGTTGCTGTAACTATTTGTTTCGCAGCAACATTTCGTTGTTATGTTTGCCTGTGATTCTAATGATAACGTTAATGATAATGACTGGATGAGGATGAACTGCAGAGATGATAATGATTTCTTTTTGTTTTGCGCTTCTTCGATGCCATTGCTGTTTGTTCGTGGTTGTGCGCACTAGCGCTAGTAACCTTCTACAACTGGTAATGGTAGTGAGAGGCTGCTTATACTTGTTAGTGAATAATGATGACGATGATGTTGTTGAAATATTTCCATGGACTTTATTACTTTGCCTCACAAACGATTGCAAATGTCCTGCAAAAATTTTAATTTTCGAGCGTTTTTATTTTTTATCTAAAATTCATTTAAAAAATTGATGATGAAAGCAGATATGGTCATAGCAGGAGATATTTTCCAAAATTGTTTTGTTAGCGAAAAACAATTTGCTGTTGTTGCAACATTGTTAAATAATTAAACCTAAAAACCGTGTTAACAGTTATTTGAATTGAATTATGATTTATGAGTGGAAATTATAATAATGATGGTGGAAAATTTTTTTACGTTAATAAAATTTTTTATAAAATTTAAGAAATAAATTCCAGCAAATTTTTCAAAATATTAGAAAATAGACTAGACTATAGACTAGACTATAGACTAGACTATAGACTAGACTAAAGACTAGACTATAGACTAGACTATAGACTAGACTATAGACTAGACTATAGACTAGACTATAGACTAGACTATAGACTAGACTATAGACTAGACTATAGACTAGACTATAGACTAGACTATAGACTAGACTATAGACTAGACTATAGACTAGACTATAGACTAGACTATAGACTAGACTATAGACTAGACTATAGACTAGACTATAGACTATAGACAAGACTATAGACTAGACTATAGACTAGACTATAGACTAGAATATAGACAAGACTATAGACTAGACTATAGACTAGACTATAGACAAGACTATAGACTAGACTATAGACAAGACTATAGACTAGACTATAGACAAGACTATAGCCTAGATTATAGACTAGACTATAGACTAGACTATAGACTAGACTATAGACTAGACTATAGACTAGACTATAGACTAGACTATAGACTAGACTATAGACTAGACTATAGACTAGACTATAGACTAGACTATAGACTAGACTATAGACTAGACTATAGACTAGACTATAGACTAGACTATAGACTAGACTATAGACTAGACTATAGACTAGACTATAGACTAGACTATAGACTAGACTATAGACTAGACTATAGACTAGACTATAGACTAGACTATAGACTAGACTATAGACTAGACTATAGACTAGACTATAGACTAGACTATAGACTAGACTATAGACTAGACTATAGACTAGACTATAGACTAGACTATAGACTAGACTATAGACTAGACTATAGACTAGACTATAGACTAGACTATAGACTAGACTATAGACTAGACTATAGACTAGACTATAGACTAGACTATAGACTAGACTATAGACTAGACTATAGACTAGACTATAGACTAGACTATAGACTAGACTATAGACTAGACTATAGACTAGACTATAGACTAGACTATAGACTAGACTATAGACTAGACTATAGACTAGACTATAGACTAGACTATAGACTAGACCGCAGACTAGACTATAGACTAGACTAGACTAGACTATAGACTATAGACTAGACTATAGGGTATAGACTAGACTATAGACCAGATTATAGACTAGACTATAGACTAGATTATAGATTAGACTATAGAATAGACTATAGATAAGATTATAGACTAGACTATAGACTACACTGTAGACTACACTATAGACTACACTATAGACTACACTATAGACTACACTATAGACTACACTATAGACTACACTATAGACTACACTATAGACTACACTATAGACTACACTATAGACTACACTATAGACTACACTAGACTATAGACTAGACTATAGACAAGACTACAGCCAATCATATTGTTCTATATAGTCCAAATTAACCTTCAATGCATCCTTTTATCAAAGCAAGTGAAAGAGTATTTCATGCCTTCAAATTAGTTTAATAAAAAATGCCCCTTCCAATCTTTTATAGCCCATTCCAAGGTTTTAGTAGAATTTTTCTAAGCAAATCTACACTTCAGTGAACACAAAACAGAAATAAAAAAGACTTAAATTAACAACATCAAAGGAAAACGTTTTTTATTTAACACGTTTTTCAACCCAAAGAAAAAATTAACTACGAAAAACATGCGTGACCAATAAAACAAACAAAAAAACCTGCTTTTGAAATCAAAAACATTCACCCTAAAAAGGAATATTTTCATTTTTCTCTTTTCGAAATTTCTTTTCAAAAAATCCTTTGTGCTAAAGATTCATTTTTAATTGATGTTATTTTTTTTTTGTTTTTG